GGGACGCAGGACACGGAGACGAGCAACAAGGCAAAGAAGGGGAAGCGCTAGAAGGATACTTTGAAGAAGAGCAAAAAGTACAAGAAGAAGAAGAAGAAGAAGCAGGAAAAGGACCACACGCCCGACGACGAGCAGCCCTACCCCCAAGCAGAGAGGACAAACCCAGAACTGAGACAGTGAGGGGGAAGCGCCTTTAGATAGTTTTGAGTTGTACTCTGTGGGGAAAGCTGTTGGCTCAACTTCGTTTGCAGTCCTCAATCACGCTTGCAAAAGCTAAGCATAATTGGACGGGCCGCATAGCCATAACACTACCACCGTCTGGGGCGCCACTTCGCCCCCTTTTTCATTGCACTAAGGTCAAACACTCAGCATCCTTGATTGGGATCTTTTTGCCATTTCGTTACCCTTGAGAGGTATCCGTTTGCCAATTCGTTATGCTTTTGACTGGGGGCATGACTTCGCTTTTCTACAGTGTTAAAGACTTTTTCTATCCTTCTCCTAACTTTGTCCTGAGGTGGACTTGTTGGGGAAGCCGCTTATCCTTGTGACCTGCACGTGTTGTGTTTTTGTTGATGGTTCATCTGCAAGCGGGGGAACCATTGCAATCCAACCGTTGTTTCTGCAAGGGGAGTGTGCCTGGCGAGGGACTAGGGATAGTGCTTTAGTGAGCGCGGGGACGAGGCCGGGATGCGGGCTAAAGTACAGGGAGAGTTGGGTCCTTACCAGGCGCACACCACCGACCAAAACCAACGAACCGAAGCGCAGCGAAGAAAGAGAGAGAGAGAGAGAGACAGAGCGAGAGAGAAAGAGAGAGAGAAGAGAAAGATGGTGTCATCCTTCCTTATCATGTTCTCATGGACATCCCACGGAACCATAGCACAGCTCTTTAAAATCAGCATCTTTCCACGATGCTGCTTGCATGGCTTTTTAGCGTGGCGCATCCACTAGAAGGGTCAGGAACAGCGGTATCCTTGCAGATGTGGGAAGGCACCTGCAGATAATGTTGAGGCAGACATCCGTCGTGTGGGACCGCAAGCACATCAGACTTGCTTTTCGAATTCGATTGATGGTGGTCTCATCTTCTTAATTGCTCTTCCAGCCTCTCTCAATAGGTCGCGGGTATTTCATTCAGAAGATAATGACGCGTCAAGAGCCCTGCACAGATTTCTAAGCCCTTCCTGGTGCTCTGTTGGAGTCGCGAACCAGCAGCTCCTAAGGAACTTGTTGAAGGGCATGCAGGACGGCCGCATGGTCTTCGAGATGGTACTGGAGTGCCCGACTGAGCTTTTGTGTGTTTCTTAGTGAGAGACTCCTGCGGGCTGGCCGCCTGCAGCTCCTTAAAAAGTGGTGGCCAGTATGTCTTTGAGGCCCAACGGTGGCATCCAGTTTCGAGCCTGGAATGACGACAGCTCGCCGAACTGTGCCGATGGCGGCACCTAGGAGCTTGCACACCTGACGGAACGGCAGATCATGCTCGCAGACCTGAGGTGAAATGAAGACCGGGCCGGGAAAAGTTGAATGGATGAAGGCCACGGAAAGTGAGCTGTATCCTGGGCAACTACAGCTTGTACCATTGCAATGATTGGGGTTTTCAATTCGTGGAGGTTGTCTGAAAGTTTCGTTGGGGCCTGTAAGAGTCTGCCGTTTCCGTTTCAGCCAGATTCGAACTCTGTGGCTCAGGCGGGGGGAAGTTAGGAAGGGCTGCTGGGAGCTGCGGGCGTCGACAGCGCTGGGGTGGGAGGGGAAGTCATCGAATCTTTCAAACCAACCGTAGCAAGTGGTCCCAGCAGGCGATTGTATTCTGCCTGTCGGAGCGTCCCCTGCTACTCCTGGTCTCAGGATCTTGTTTCTTGGGCCTGCAGTATTCTGTCGGCTCCGTCCATACTCCGGCTCCCCAAATGGCTTGAACAATGCAATATTGGTGGGTTAGCACCGGTAGCTGTTGGCCAAAGCACGAGTCGACCCGCGCTGCCCCGGCTTTCCACTGTTGCACCAGTTTCACAACATCTTCGAGCCATCCTGATCAAATCTGCCGGGACTTGGGGGGCCTGCCAAAAGCCAACTTCTATCATCGGAGTCCCAGAGTTCGCACATGCCATGTTGGTCAAGATGCGCTGCGGGCATGACCGCCTTGATGGCCGTGGTGACCATAGTGGTGGTGCTGCTGCAACAGCCGTTGTTGTTGTTGTTGTTGTTGTTGTTGTCGTCATTGAGGTTTTTTACTTATTGCCTTCCTTCTAACCTCGCACACCGCTGCTCTTGTTGATGTCTGTGTCGTGGCAGTGGTCCCTCGACATCATCGCCGACTCGGTAGTAAAAAGGAAGATGCTCGGTTAGATCGGGAGCGATGTTTTTAGTTGCTTCCTTGTTGAAGGTGAGCGCTGACCTTGGTCTCCTTTTGCCTGTCCTCCGTGTCTTGATGCAGTCGTTTGGTGGTTGCTGGTCTTGTCAGTCGCCCTGTGTGAATATCTTGCTCCCAGTTGGAAGCTGAAGCTGCATGTAGTGGGCCCTGCTCTCTCCATGCTTGGCGATGTCGTCTGCTGTGGCCACAGTGGCTGCTGCAGCCTTGACACCAGGTCTTCTACAACCACCAGATATGCTTCGAAGCTCAGAACAAGCCTCTGTGAGTGGTGCAGCCCAGCTTGGACAAAGAGGTGTATTCATGCCATGTCGCCAGCGGCTGTGTCAGACTACAGTTTCCGAAGTTCACGCCGCTGCAAAGTGGCAGAGTAAGTGTAGCCGCGCACTGCAAGGCTGTAGCAGAACATGTTAGCCTGTTAACGGTCGTAACCGACTTGAGACCAGGAACGAGTCGCAGGCCAGACAGCTTCTGCTTCGGCCCAGCTGCCACAAATTCGATTTTAAAGCTGCCTTTTTTCTTGCATGCCGGCCCCTGCCACAGTCCTTCTTGGTACCGGTGCACCAGGGCGGCAGGAGAGCCTGGCAGGATTTTCCGTCAGCAAGATTGAATCTTCAGCTGCACCATGGAGCAATATGGAGCTGATAGCTAATCAATGAGTCCCCAGCCCTTCTCAGATCGCACCGGTTTTCGGTTCATGGGCTCATGTTGAGTCATCTTCGCATGTTTGGTTGGATGGTTGAGAGTGTTTCAGTGGAGTCACGAAGCTGCTAAGTACGCAAGCAGGTGTTGTTTTGGATAAGTTGAGAACCAAATCAAATCTCGACACGTCGAGAAGTCAATAAGTTCTTCGGCTTTTCACGATTTCTTCGCTGTTCGAACTTTTCAAGACTGTTGAGTTTTTCAACTTCCAGACTATGCGACCGCTCGGTTGGTTCTGCGCTTAGAATTTTCAGTGCTTTTCTAGTTGGCGCTTTTGGCTTTTAGACTTTTCGTGTTTTTCTGCACTTGTCGAACTTAGCAGGTTTTTCTATATCACGTCTTTACATACAGAAGCTTCGGACTAGGCTACGACCGAGCTAGGGTAGGACTTAAGCTGGGTCTTAGGCCAAGATACTCTATATACGCCTAGACAAAGGGCATAGAGCCAGGTACTAGTAGTCCAAAGATAGGCCTGCGGTTAGGATTTAGGCTAGGGGCACGGTACATCTGTAGCAGGCTCGGGAAAGGCCTAATCGAAAATTTCAGTGATCTGATTTTCCTGGGCATCCTCAAGGCCCCTACCATGAACGAACGCTTCGGCATTTTGGTATTATCGGGTTTTGGGGACCAAAGGTGGCCACCTTCAATTAGTTTTGAGCATTTTTGAGCATGACAGCAGGAAACAGTGACCAAGACAAAGGCATTTCGACCTATTTTTCGGTTCCAGGGAACCAGCCAAGAACCTTGTGCATGCCAAGTTCCAATGATACTTGATCTTTTTATGCATCCTCATAGAACGAAGGTTCTGACAGTTTCTCTGGTTTGGGGAACGCTTCTTCTGTTTTTCTCACAGGCAACTTTCAGCTACCCAGGACCCAAGACATAGATGTGTTGGCTGAGTTTTTCGGGTAAGGTGAACTCCCCGGAGGGCTCTTGTAGTGATCTATGAGCAGACTTGATTTTCGCCTTCTGCGGTTGTTCTGGATTTTTCACTTTTTCGATAGATTCTAGGACGTTTAGATGTTTTGGCCTTTGGCAGTATATGCTTTTCGAGGTTTCGCGGTTTTTAGACTGTTCGCTTCGAGCTGTATGCGCACCCGAACCATTTGCAGGCACAGTTGAAGCTCTATAGCAACGAGTTCTGGCGAGCGACATTGCCAGTACCATGCTTCATTCATGCAGCATAGCTCTCTGAGAGCAGTCTGACTGTTATTGGCCTGTCCGCCATGTCGAGCCAGAAATTGCTTGACATGCAGGGCCAACCTGACTGGCATTATCAGACTTCTCATGTCTCAACGGTTGGGAGCCAAGGACGCGTGCTGCCAAAATAACGATTTAGCATGCTGGAGAGTATCGTCCTCATCTAGGTTTGATGTGTGATGTTGGCTTCATAGCAGAGGAAAATCTGCACTACAAGTCAAGAATTAGTGCCAGCATGAGATGAAGAACTTGTTGATGTTGCTGTCGCCCTGTGTGACTTCGTCCACACAGCAAGCGACCTGCTGATGTCCCAAGTGTATGTAGTCTCTCTGCCCAACCTGACTAGTTGCACCTAGTTTCGTTAAGCTCTGATCCCGCACCTGGTGTCAAGTTCATGCGATCAGACCAGCGGAGTCTTTGAACACGTCCTTGGCCATGAATCTGTCTTAGACCTGTGCCGCGAAATCGCAGAGCGCAAAATGAAGCGAAGCCTTGCACCAGGGGCGCATGCCATCTTCCCGACTTGCTTCGCAGTCCAGCATCGTGTCAGACATGTGCAAGCCAAGGTCAGCATGGGCTGCTCCCGGCCTCGTGCAGTCAAAGCATCTGAGCCTGTCACTGCCGAAGCTGGCATCGACAAGCAAGGAAAACAGGGGCAAGCGAGGTCTTCTGACGCACCCAGTTCCTGTTAGAGCTATGGACCTTATAGGCCCTGTAGGCCTTGTGGTTGTGGAGCAAGGTCGGGCACTGTCATGATCCTCGCCTTCTTAAACGGTCCATTCAAGGCACGATTTGCTGACGCCTCACTGGCATGCGGATGCCTGGTTGCTGTGGCAAGAGCAAGCACTCCAAAATCGGGAGAGTGTGTGAGCTTCATTGGTCGTCATAGCTCTCGACGCGCATCAACGGTAGGTGACCTTCCTCGGAGATCCAGGAGGGTTTCACGGGGCATGGGCCCAAATGAAATCTGATCTCAAAAACGGTTAGTCACTGATCAGCGTCTTGTTGTCATCGTCCGCCTGGAAGAGATCTACGCACTCGGGGCAGTAAGGCCTTAGTTCCAAGGATACAACCAGCTCTGTCGCCCAGGTGCAGGTGGTGGCTGAAGATCAAGCAGGAGCACGGAGCTCAATAGCAACTTAGATACTTGCGTTTGGTAATCCACCTCACCTGCTTTGCTGTGCGAATGCTTCGGCCAGCACCGCCAATGAATTTGGCTGAGATGGCTGAGTAGATCGTTGAGAGCAGATGCAGGGGCAGATGGGGACAGATCCAGGCAAGGGCCCAACCACATAGTGACACAGTGGCCATAAACACCGATCCGACTTTAGCGCTTGCAGCCGCTTCTGCACTCGCTTCTGATGGCCCTGCCAGAGTGGGCCGCTCAGCCCGGGCCCCGAAGGGAAGCGCAGATTGTTTTGGAGTCGAAGCGAAGCGTTTCAGGTATGAGGACGACCCTGCTCTGCGAGAATCCCTGGCTTCAGCCTTACCTTCCACATGTGGCCCGAGAAGCAAAGAAACTTTTGCTTGACGCTTGTGTTCCTGTAGGCAGAGAAGGAGCTCTGTGAGACACGAGTTTGGCGAAGGCGCAGCCAACTGCATGAGCTAGTGGCCTTTAGTGGCCTTTGAGATCTATCGCTGTCCAAGATCTCGCCGGATGCCAGGGATGGGCTTGATGTCACTCGTGGTTCAACGCGCAAATTCGCAGAGGCCCTTCTCGTGAAGATAGTTTTAGGTGATAGCACGGCCTTGAAGTCGTGACAGACAATATCCTGCAAGGATATCCACGCTTGTAGGTCAGCAGTGTAGGCCACGAGCCTAGCGGAGTCTTCAGCCTCTTCGTGCAATCTTGCAAATTGTTCTGGGGATGTGTCAATCGCAGAGGGTGTGGCAATGGACATTTTCCTGAACATATTTTCTCAGTTCCTTTTTGGGCAGGGGCTTCGAGATTCTGCCAGGCACACATTTCACTCCGAAGAGGAGCGGCTCAGGTGTGCGCCTTCAACATCGGAGCAACTGATGTTTGTGTGAGCGCCTTTGCGAATTGTTCAGTTCTACATCATGAACAGCTTGGTCCTGGCGCTGCCGTCCCTGCTGGAGCTCCTCTTCGCCGCGAGGAGCGGGTCCAGCGCAGCGGAGCGCGGCGGAGCGAAATGGGCCCGGGCCCCCAGGAACTTTGGCTCCGCCTGTGGCTGGGGCACAGCGGCTTGGAGGGCCCGGCACGGATTTGGAGCAGATTCTCTTGGTCTTTCCTGTTGCAACACTACTTCAGCTCCTTGCCAGGATGACTCTCGACAGCGTCGTTTGTCTCTTTGGGAGCCTTCTAAGCCTTTGGCTCTGCCTTCAAGCTCAGGCCATGACCCTCGCGGTGCGCGCACATGTAACTGTGAACGGCTCTGCGATTCAGGTTCTCCAAGATCTTGAGCTCCAGGAACACCTGGTGAGAAAGGCGCTCCACTCGCTTAGATCGTTGTTTCCTAGGCATCCATTCTGCCCTCTCAATCTGAGGTGTGTGCGAGGATTGGTGTCAAAATGTGTTTGCACGTAAGACTTCCGTGTTGTTGGCGTGCTCTCTCTTCGAAGAGATTGAACGGAAGCATACTTCGTCTTCCCTACCCAGGCAAACCTACTAATGTAATTTGTCAGCACCCGGCCGGTAGAAGGGAGCCTGAAGTTGCAGATCTGTGCGGTGTGCCACGGCCACAGCAGCGGGTGCTTTGCTTCTCTGGGGAGGCCCGTGGCGACCCAGAGCTTCCAGAAGAGCTGGAGGGCAAGGTCGACACTTTCAACAAGGTGGAAAAGCCCGTAACCGCCAAAAAATCGCGGCACGTCCCCGCTGGCCCGGTGCCTGTGCCACTCCTTGTGAGGTCACGCGCTGTGCGGTGATCTCCATCACGGCGTCCATCTGTTCTTCACTGGTCCCGTGCTTTTGAGCTCCCGAGCTCCTGCCAACACTTCTGAGAGCGAGAGCAAGAGCAGAGAGCAAAGGCAAGGAAAGGCGCATACAGTACAGGTAGCAGTGCTGTGCCTCAAAGAACCAGGTGGTCAGGTATCTACAGGCAGCTGTATCGTTCCATCTCCCCGCCAAGGTTCTGTGGGCAGTGGGGCTGTGCATGTTCTTCTTCAAGGCTGCCAGTGCACAGCAGAGCATAGCACAGCACCTCCACGGAGTTTTTCAAGCGGCTTTTCCTGGTACTTTGCAGTCGCAGGATCTCTCGCGCTGCGACGAGGTGCGCCGCTGGGTTCGGCTCATGACGTGGGCTCGGGCCCAAGACTCTCTGCCATACTAGAGTAAGCAGAGCGCCTGACAGAGACGTCCCCTCTTCACTCCAATGTTCGTATCCGCAAGGTGCGTATCCTGATGCCCTTCTTCTTGTTGTGCTGCCGGCCTCTCAGTTGTTTGGTCAGGCCTATGCGCAAACGGACAGGTGCGTGAAAGTAGCATCATGATGAAGTTAGGACATACATGGATTCACATGCCGTGCCCGAGAGGAGGCTGTGTGTGGACATGCAAAGCACCTGAAAAGGCATTCTTCCCGTCCAGCAGCTCTGCTGCCAGGCAAAGGTCTTGCAACGCTCATCAGGTTATGCTGTGATAGTGACGAGAAGAATCGAGAAGAGATTGGCGACAAACAGCAGACTGTCTTTCAGTAGTGCGAAGAAGCGAAAATCTGAGCATTTAATGCAAAGCCCAACTACGACTGACAGACACACACACACACGCACACACCAGCCAGTCAGTCTGTTCATCTGTCTGTATGTATGCCTGCATGCCTGCATGCATCAACGCTCGTATGTTTATCTGGAAATAAATATATTAAAGTACGTATGCATATACACATATATACACACGTATACATACATATATACACATCTGCATGTTGAGTTCGGTTCCTTCATCGAAGGGTTCATGTAGGACATACTTATGCAAGGATAGGCATACACCGACAACAGATACACATATTCCTGTCGCAACCTCTGTCTGCCAAGCATCTGTTTGTGCATCTATCCATCTCTACATATACAGATGTATACCTGCAAGCAGAAGTATCCAGGCGTGCACACACGATTTGGACCCATGTGTTGGTCCCGTATACGTGAAAACATGTATATATCAACAGAAGCACATCTGCTCGCCCTTATGTAGCTTATGTACGTGTGCACGCACGCCTGCCCGGCCGCCCGGCCTGGCCTGGCCCGGCCCGGCCCGCCCAATCCCCCAAAAAGCGCGACCTAACGTGAGGGGAAGAAGATGCGAAGCAACAGTGCATGTCGACGACGCACCGCGCGGCTTCGGACCACGACCTACTGACAGCGACGGGCATCGACCGCGCCGCGGCTGAGATCATGCCCAACCATAAACATCGAGATTGGTGGAGACCTGGGGTGGCTGTAGTCTGTCGTGTGTGCGTGTGTGTGTCCGGCCGTAGCGTACGGCATGGACTATCGTTCTTTTCGGCGCGGGTCGTAGCTATTCCTGCAACCTGCACAGTCGTTTTCGTCGTTGTCAGCCTCATCGTCAGCCTCCTCATCGTCAGCCTCCTCGTCTTTCCGCTGTCGTCGTCGCCCTCGCCCTCGTCGTCGTCCCCGTCGTCGTGGTCATGGTGTTGATGTAGTCGCTGTCATCATGACATGGGCCACTGCCGCCTTGTTATCCGCTACCAGCATAAGCAGGCCACGAGATGGAAAAGAAACGTGACTTTGGGCTAGCGGCCAGTTGCATCCGGCAAAATTTTCCCACAGCATCACTCCATGGGTCCTTCCATCGTAAGTCACAAATTTTGAAGGAAGCAATTTCGTAGCGCAGCACTCCATGCCGAGCGCGCCGACTGTTGCCATGGGCCTGTCCAGCTCTACCATCCTTGCCCCAAAGAAGGCCGGCGAGTATCCGAATACACGTCAGTACACAATCCCTACGGTCGCCCCGAAGGGCTTGCTGCGGCTGGCGGTGCGCTGTGAAGCGACGCGACCAGGGGAAGACCTGGGTGTGGCTTGGCAAGCGCATGCGAGCGCGGTGGGCACGGCCTTTTGGTCCTTTGCAAGGTGAAGGGCGAAGCCCCGGCCATGCCGGGGTGGGATCGAGGTGCATCTACCGTAGCCACCGAGTCGAGATTAGCCATGCTATGTCGTGCGAAGAACATCCAAGTGGAGGTGCGCAGGCCCTGCTCCTCAGTTGCATCGACCCAGTCACCCGGCAGGATACGTGGCCCGCTTCTTGACCGCAGCTTCTGGGGTCTTGGCTCGATCAGGCTGTTTTGGGCTTGGATCGACCGGCACCAGTGCGAACTCAAACTAAACCGAAGATGCACCCTTCTGTCAGAAGGCCGGGAGTCCATCCACTTGCTTGAAATCAAAGGTAGCCGTTCCACTTGCGATACGGGAAGCAGTCACAGCATGAAGCTCCAGGTTTGGACACTTTCCGATCCCTTGGAGGTGGAGCTTGGGCAAGAGCCGCTTGGTGCACTTTGCCCCCTCACATGGCTGCATGGCACCATTGCACGTTTGCCTTGCTCATGTAACCTACGTATTACCTACAGGTCCAAACCGTGCGGTACAGTGTGGCATGGGCATCATGGGCAAGTACGAGTTGTTGGGTGCTGCAAGGTTACAGTACAAGTACGTCATCATCCGTGGGACCCGTCGGGACAAGCTTCGCTGGGAGACTGATGGCGTCGGGAACCACCGTCGTCTCCAAGTCAACGAGGACGGAGAGTTGATCGGTGGGGTTAACCTGCTTGTGACATCTCTGACGGCGCAGCGTGCCAGGAGATGCTCCTCAGCGGAACCTGGGATGATGGGCAATTTGGCCATGTCCCTGGGCAGCCACCGAGAGAGCACACAAGGACAAGGAGGGTGGTCCAAGAGGAGGCGTGCCGGACCTGTGAGAACTCAAATGGGATTTTCACCTCCGGCAGCCGCAAGTTCTAGACCACCGAATAGTGTTTCTCAGAATCCCCCAAGCTGAGGCTTTCAAGTTCGCACCGTCGAGGTGTGCACGCGCACAGTGCAACGCATGCTCCTGCAACGTGTGGAGGACGTCCCGGGCTGCGACACGGTCGGTGCAATCCTTCCGGCGATGGAGAGAAAGCGGCAGATCGGCAAAGGCAAGGCTTGACAAG